TTTTTATGTACAATATCATGTTATCTGCAAATAGTGACAGTTTAACTTCTTCTTTACCTATCTGGATTCCTTGTATTTCTTTGTTTTGTCTGATTGCCGTGGCTAGGACCTCCAGTACCACGTTGAATAACAGTGGGGAGAGTGGGCATCCCTGTCTTGTTCCCGATCTTAGAGGAAAAGCTTTCAGCCTCTCGCTGTTCAGTATGATGTTAGCTGTGGGTTTATCATATATGGCCTTTATTATGTTAAGGTACTTGCCCTCTATGCCCATTTTGTTGAGAGTTTTTATCATGAATGGATGTTGAATTTTGTCGAATGCTTTTTCAGCATCTATGGAGACAATCATGTGGTTTTTGTCCTTCTTTTTGCTGATGTGGTGGATGATGTTGATGGATTTTCGAATGTTGTACCATCCTTGCATCCCTAGAATGAATCCCACTTGGTCATGGTGTACGATCCTCTTGATGTATTTTTGAATTTCGTTTGCTAATATTTTGTTGAGTATTTTTGCATCTACGTTCATCAGGGTTATTAGTTTTCTTTTTTGGTGGGGTCTTTGCCTGGTTTTGGTATTAGGGTGATGTTGGCTTCATAGAATGAGTTTGGGAGTATTCCCTCCTCTCAGCACCTAGGGTTCTTATTTGAACTCCCTGTCCATTCCCCTACTGGGAGGGACCCAGGTACCCAGTAGTTCCTTCCCTTTTTCTTATGCTTTCTTTTTCCCTTTACTGAGAAATACTTTTGACATACAAAGATGCAAGAAAATAAAATAATGCATATCTATGACCACTGCCTAAGCTTTGAAGATACAATCTTACAGAGTTGAAGCCCCTGTCTCTTCCCCTGGTTGGCCTGTACTCTTCCCTGTAAGAGAAAAACCACACATATCTTTACACTTCTACTACATATATCTGTATTCCTAGACAATACATAGTAACTTTCAAGTTTTATATAAATACCTTATTGTACTTTTGCAACTCTCTCTTTACTGAACATTTATTATGAGACTTTATCCACATTGTGGTGTCAATTCTAGTTTATTCAATTTTTCTATTGTATTGTACTCCTTCAGATACACTCACAACTTATTCTTTCTCTTAACTGATGGATATTTGTCATTTCATTTTTTTTGCAATCATAAATAAGACTGCAAAACCAATCTTGTATATGTTTTCTTGTGCATCTTAGTTTCTCGAGATACCTAATTTGCAAAATTGCTCTCCAAACTAAGTACTTACACATATTTACACTACCGGGAACAATAAATTTTAATAGTCACAGAAACCATACCATCAGGCATATACTTTGAAACCCACAAGACTGCAAGAAAAAAAAAAAAAAAAGACTTGTAGTATTTAACCGTAAAGTGTAAATTGTACCATTTTCTAGTTACTGGAGAGGTTAAACATCTTTGCATATTCTAGGTCACGTGGGATTCTATACTGGTGGATTGCTTGCTCATATTCTTAGCTCATTCCTTTACTGATTATTGTAGAAGCTCTTTGCTTTTGCTGGCGGTATCCTCTGGTGTCCAGTCATTTAAAAACTCAATGTAATTCATTCTATCCATCTTTTCTTTTATGGTTTGTGATTTGTACATCTTCTCTAGGAAATTTTCCCTACCTTAAGATTACAAATATATTCCCTTATAGTTTTCTTCTAAATTTTTCAAAGTTTATCTATCTAGGATTTACTTTACAGAATGCAATAAGGATTTTGTTCTATGTGTATGACTCCTACTTTTGTTGAAAAATTATCCAAACTCTATTTAATCTCACTCAAGACTTTTCCTCTTCTTCTTAATTTCTACCAATTCTAAAACTTTCTTATACAAGAAAAATCAAAACAAAATCAAGCCATTACCCTGAATTAAAAATGGAACTGGCAAAACAATGATTGTTCATGTCGACAATTTTAAGACAGAGATATTTTCCCATAATAATGACAGGTGTGGGTACATGTATATATATATATGTATCCTTTATATACAGTAAGTTAATAAAGTCTATTGTTGGTACATACATAATTAAAAATGTCACTGTGAAAACCCTTAGTCCCTAAATTTCTTTATGATAGACAACTGTTGCTGAAAATGGTAGTATGCTTTTGATGCATGGGAGGAGTATGTGCTAATGAGAGGGAAAGTATATAGGGAAGAAAAAAATCTTAAATGGTGGTAAAGTAACTATGTTATTTGGTGCATGTGCTATTCAATATGATACCCATTATTATGAATGAAAGTAACCAAGAAGAAATTCATGAAACCAGAAGTATTTTCTCTGTGAAAGTATTTGCCACAGATAATTTTCTACATCAAATACTCTTTGAAGGAAGAGCTTTAATTTTCACAATTAAGTACCCTTTTACTGATACTGTTTAAGCTTAAGGTATAATTACTTGGTGAAAGATCATGATCCGGTGGGATTTACCCCAGGTATGCAAAGCTAGCTCACCATTCAAAAATCAAGCAATGTAATCCTGCATTATCAATTAAGATAAAAAAAAAATTACATCATATCCATTTAACAGAATAAACATTTGACAAAGCCCAATACCCACTCATAAAAACTCAGCAAGTTAGGAATAGATGGGAATTACACCTTGACTTGATAATGAATAAGTATAAAAAACCTACAATGTACATCACATTTAATGGTGAAGAATGAATCATAAGATTGGGCACAAGGTAAGGATATCCACCCCACCACTCATTCAACAGTGTGAGAAGTTCTAACCATTGTAATAAGACAAGAAAAAGAAACCAAAGATATACATTTTGGAAAGAAAAAAATAAAACTCTATTTTCAGATGACATGATTAACTACATTGAAAATCTCAAGGAAATCTATAATGAAGCTCCTAGAATAAATGAATTCAGCAAGGTTGCCGAATACAACATCAACACACAACAATCAATCACATTTCTATATATTAACAAGCAGCATGCTGAAATCAAAATTAAAAACAAAATATCATTTACAATTGTTCCAAAAGAAATTAAATACTCAGGTATAGAATTTAAATATGTACAGGGTCTTTGTGATGAAAATTTTAAAATGATGATGAAACAAATCAAAAAACTAAGAAAAGGAGTGATGTACCATGTTCGGTGATTGGAAAACTCAATGCAGTAAACATGTTAATTCTCCCAAAATTTATTTATTTAGGTTTAATAAATTCCCATCAGAACATAATTACCTGGTGAAAGAAAATGAGTGATAAAAATAAAATACAAACCAAAAGCATGTGCAATGATCTCAAGCTTTTGCTGACACTGAAATGCTTTTGAAGTACTTCTTGCACACTTCTATCTTCTGCGAGACCCTAGAGGGGAGAAAAAACAAAACAGAATTAAGAAATAATGCAGTTTAAAACCTAAATATAACCTTGTGCCTCACTGGCTGGTGTACCTCATTAAGTCTATCTTGAAACATGATCAAATGCAGCACAAAATGTAACAGAGAAGTTACTCTACTTGGAAAAACAAGGTAAAGTATTACAAAGAATGCTTTATTTGTATGAGGCAATAGGCTAAATAGAGGAAAGAGCATTTCAGATACAGTGAACAGCATGAGCAATGTTGGAAGACTGTGGCATACTACCAGAATATAAGTAGTCAAGTAATCCTGAGTTTCAGTTATTAGTAAAGTGATTGTATGGAAAGACAAAGGCAATTGGAATTATCCACAAAGAAACAAAGAGGGTCTGAATTAATAGAGTAGTGTAAAGACAAGAGAGAATTAAGACGTTTACAGAAAACATGTCTCATGGAGAATCAGCTGGTAGGGAGTGGAGGAGGAAGAGTTAGAGAAGGTGGAAGAAAAAAGTCAGAGATGACACTATGGGGGACAGAATATACCAGGAGAGAAAAATGCAGTGTGGTCAAGAAGTGAAACTTGGATTGTAATATTTAAGAATTAAATGGAAAAAGAGAAGCAAAGTAAGAAACTGAGAAACACACTGAACACTGGAAGAAAATCCAAGAAAGAACAATGAAACCAAGGGAAGAGAACTTCAAGAGGAAATGGTGATCAACAATGTAAACTATTTTTTTATAATTTTATTTAGATATATTTTGACAAGAAACTAATGGCTTTGGAAATACAGAGGTCAATAGGGCCCTTTGAGAAAGCACTGTCTGAAAGAGGTAAGTGACTGCAGTGAATGAGGATTAATGAAATGTGAGGTATAGTTGCAACTGAAGAAAAGATTAGATAAGAGGAAAATAATTCAGAGTTGGCAGAACCAAGAAAGGCTTTGGGAACACTGACATAAGTTTTTAAAAACCATCTGCAAGGATAAAGACTCTTTTTCCTTAAAAAAATAAGTAAAAGCCTACAAAACAAAGTAACTTTTGGAGCTAAAACTGTTCTAGTCTACTGGAATGAAGTTTTATGATCTGAATAAATACCTTATCCTAGCGAAGAGTCCCCATTCCCTTGCTATTATTTTTACTTTTCTCTTTCTATTTTAAAAAACTTGTTACTACACATTTCTTTTTATCATGAACAGGATTCAATACCCTTTGGAAGTACACAGATGAACATACGATAATAAAAGTAAAGAAACATAAATAGAAAACTTCTGGATACAAATTGTGACCCTAGCTTTTGCAATCTGACTCTTATCAAATTACTTAACAAAGTTGATGTATTAAATCAAAGAACTTACGAAAACTAAAGAAAATCACCTGGAAAAAATACTGATGAAAAAATTTCCTGTGCAAGAATTCAGTTATTTTTAAAGTAGAATGCTTTCTTTTATATGATGCTTCAAAGGGTTATTTTCTTTATTCTGCCTTTCTGTTTATCTCTATATTTTTGAGGTTTGAGTCCAACTCTCCATCTTTCTGAAATCTATCACCTTCTTGCTCCCATTATTAATCAGCAGTTTTAGAATGTCTACGAGACCTGTACTGTATGTGAGCTATTAAAAAAAAATCCTTATTTTATTTTTAATTTCACCTTGATTCAAACACAAACTACCTGAGGATGAGCTTCATCAAAAAACCAGTTATTGGACACCTAGTATATTTAACTAATTATGACAGTCATTGAAGATACCTGATCTTGGGTTTTGAAACATGACTGAATTTCTTGTCACTTTTAATTGAAAACTCCCTTATGGTTGGCTCAGGAAATAATGTAAAGAAATAGAGAGAGACTGACTGACTGACACCACCCCTTATCAGAACATGGGGGAAATTCCAGAAATAAAAGAAGACCTCCCATTACTCAGGGAAGCTGATATATTTCCTTCTTACTGATAACACATGAGCAGCAGTTGGAGAAGCAAATTCTTATTGTGCTGACTGCAGTTTGCTTGGCCACTGTTCTCTTTGTCTAAGCAGTGTGTAACAGAATCACACTGGTACCTCAGGACTTGTGCTGCTCCAGGGATAACTCAGTGGCAGCAGTATGTGTACTAAATCTCCCAGTTAGTTCCCGTTAAACCTTCTCATCTTCTGCTAATTAAACAGGGAAGGTTAAGGCACTGGTAAATTTTCCTTGAACTTAGCTATGGTACTTTTGGGGAATTTCCTTTGAAGAAAAATAGCTATAGTCCTTTTAAACGCTCTTCTGTGTTGTGATTTCTCTTATAGTGCCAGGCTGAGATGGTGTTTACTTACTTACTAATGTGACTCATTTGGATTAGGGCTAAAACAAACATTCAATTAAGGCAGGAAGTCCAGGTTCAACCCTATCCTAAAGGTATTTCTTGGATGAGATTCCATAGGTAACCTGTTGTCTATACCACTGCTTTTGATTTAACCTCAGAATTAGAAAAAACTGCTGGATAGTCAGCACTGAGAGAAAGGATAGCTCCCTCAATGTAGCTTCCTACCCTTTCCTGGGCAGGGCCTCTGGCCATGGTGCTGACAGACTTTTTAAGTGAAGCTCATTTATTAGCATACCAAATGGAGGTGGCAAATGATGATGAGGATGAGGGAAGAAAATATTAGAACTATGAAACACGAAGTCCAGTGGTATCAGTTCTACCTTATTAAAGAACTGAGAAGACTGTCAAAAAGATGACAAAACATTGCCCAATTTCATTCTTAATATCTGCACCTAAATTTAGTGATGCAGGATCAGCAAAAAAGATCCACAAACCTAAGAGTTAGTCATTCTACTACCATGGTTACCATATTCTAAGTCACCCAGAATTATGCTTCACCAGTAACTCCCATCATGTACTACATTATATACTTACTCTGAAATGCTCAAGAATGTAATTATAGCTGGAAAGGACAGAAGGATGGATGGCACAGTACAACGTGGGCTATATAGTCATCTTGGGAAAGAAAGTGAGCAGGTATAGAAATAACGAAAGCTCTGGGAAAGCACAGCATTTAAATACTATGAAAGACTGAACCTGAATCTCAAAGCAATCAGAAAAAAACACTGTTGCAACAAGACAGTAAGTTCAGGAACTCTAGAAGGTAACGATCTGGAGGCACAGAAAAGTGGGTTCAGAGGCCAAAGATTCAGAACTCTGATCCACTCCAGACCCAGGTAAGGGAAAGAACAATGTGAGATCAGCAACTGTAAAGTGCTCCTAAAGAATGTAATCTTGTAATTAGATATATCACTGAAGCAACTTGCCTGCATTAACAAGCATCTAAGTCCCAGGAAAGATTAATTTGAGGAGGGTGGAAGCAGAAGAGAGAAACCATACCTAATTGTATCATAGCACAATATCTGAAATTTAAGGATAAAGTCAACCATTTTTACATATAATTCTGCAGTTATATTAGAAAACATAACATGGAATTTATTAGAATAAAATAAAAAGGTAAACCAAATGATAATGTGTATAATTTGAACCCTTTATGTAAAAACAAAAGTTTAGTGTATATAAGGTCTGAAATGCTGCAAATCAAATAATTGTTCTTCAGTAAAAGGGAAGATGGGCATGGGTATAAGAGACACTTCCACCTTCTACCATGTATTCTTACACCCTGATTAAATTTTGTTCAATACTTTTTATTTTATAAAATGAAGTGTCAAAATTAATAGTGCTTACACGAGCACACTATATGTTATAATCAAAACAAGAAATCCAGTTTCAGTAATGCAAGGTAAGTTCTGGAAATGTAATGTTATACTGACTATGGTTAGCAATACAGTAGGGTACACTTGAAATTTGCTTAGAGGATAGATATTATATGTTGTCACCACAAGATTAAAGAAGAAAATGGTACCTATGTGAGGTGATGGATAAATTAAATAGATTAATTGTGGCATTTCACAATACATATGTATATCAAAACATCAAATTGCACACCTTAAATATGTACAACTTTTGTCAATTACTCCTGAACAAAGATCAGAAAAAAACAAGAATCATTGAGAAAAAAACTGCAAAATTCTTTTAAGATTAAAATCATTACTGATTTACGTAAAACAATAATTCTTAAAAGCCAGTGAATACAGATTATGTAACTCTAATTATCCAGAGAGCGAATTATTCTCACTCATACATTTGTAATATTACAGACCAATTTTTCCCTATTCTTTCAAAACTAAGGACTCTGTATTATTTTACACTTTCACAGGACCCATATTTTAAAAAATTCTACCATAAAGGATTTATTCAGCAATATTGTTTTCAATGTCATTAAACACACACATACACATACACATACACATATACACACACACACACCCTCTCCCCCTTCTCCCTGCCAACTGAAATATCTTGTCACTACTAAGACAAACTGATGCCAGTATATTGAGTTGTACAAAGTTCTAACAAAGGCCTTTACAAGTTAGGGTGTTCAACTTAAACAGAGGTAAATTTACAGAGTTTGTAAGGTTTAGCAAATCTTTAAGACAACATGTAAATGTGCCTTTATAGTAAGTCTCTCAGGGCTCCAGGGACTACAAAATAGAATTCACCAAAGTAGGTCATATAACCAGAGGTGCCAGTCTGGACTATGAGATTAAAAGCTGAAGTTGTTTGAGAATTGGGAAAAAAACCCCACATTGCATAGGTAGGTGTGAACCATTAAGCTAATAGATTACTAAGCTTTTCAAATAAAGAAAATAAATTTTTTAAGATAGAAATTCATGAAAAATAATCTAAGATTTTTAACAAAACCAAAATTTCATTTAAGTTCTTTGGGAGAAAAAATTTAGAAGATACGGCATTTCAACTGCCTTTTAAAAGAAGAAAATACACACACACAAAAGTATATAATTTGTATTACTTCAATTTTATGCTAGAGTAACATAAAAACTTTTGTGCTAAATGGTATAGCTGTTGACATGTAAATTACTTTAACATTATTGCCTTTGTTCCAGGTTACCTGAACATTCTCATTCCACCTCTCAGCAAAAAACTCGTCTGGAAATTCTGCAGGTAGAGATAATTGTTCTTTAAATATTTTAAGGTACTGTTGAAAACCAAATGAATTCATTAAATGTATCTGCCGGTGAGAAAATCGTGACTTCACTCTTTTTTCTAAGAGTTCCAAAATATCCTTAAAAACAAACAAAAATCCCTATGAGAATGCATGTTTTCTAAAAACAAACAAACAAAAACAGTCAATGATAGAGGTTTAAGTATTTAAAGTATCACCTGCAATTAGCAATGCTTATCCTATAATATATAATTAAGTATTAAAAAAAAAAATTCTGCAAGCCTCTAAAAGCTCAAATTATATTACAGGGCAGTACAAATTACTCCCTTGATCTAGTTAGGGTTACAAGTCTTCTTTAATTATTCCCTTCTAAGCATTTGTAGGTCTGGTGATGTCAAGTCTTTTTTCCTGCCATGTTATTCTCAGCTAATCTTTACTATTCTAAGACATACAGTAATTGTTAAAAAAATTTAAAGAATAGTTATCTACCACAGTAACATCAAGAGTTTCAATAAGGAATTTCATATATTCTATGAATTCAGATAAAAAATTAAGATAATAAAATGTATTAAGATTTATTACATTCATGAAAAATTAAACAACTTCACTGTTTAAAGTAACAAAGTCTCTAGAAGCAGCATGGGTGGCGGAGAAGAGTTCAGTTCACTAAACTACCTGCCTACATACTTAAGTTAGAGACATGCTGGAGTACAGGGACACACTGTAGAGGCGGAAACTGGCAGGAACATAGCATGCCATTGGTAAGTCATTCCATCTTTTGGTCTTTTTATACTGATATTTTAGAAACTGTTTATATTTGTGCTATTTTTTCCTAAGAAGAAGTTAGGAATCAAATTTGCTGTCAATTTTTGTAATAAAAGCGATTAAGCAAAAAAAGAAGCTGCTGTGGTGTAAGGACCAGAAATATGGATTTTAAATCACCCAGATGATTTTCATAATAACAATGTTATAAAAGAAAGAATTCAAGAGGTCAAAATGGGATCATGGTTTGGGAAGGAAGGCAGAAAAGACTAATAGCTGGAGGCTAGATATAAATTGGGGAGAAGATGAATAAAAACCTGGAATTTTTTATAGGTTAAAGAAAAATACAGTGCCAGTGTAAGATAATTAGAAGAAAGTTTAGTTCAGGGACAGGGAGAGTACACATTTATTTTCTATTAAAGAACAGTTCTCCATTACTCATATAGATAGGTGACTGAAAGGTAGTATAAGCAACACTCTATGCAACCAGTAATAAAATCCTGAACATGACAATGGAAAGAGATGGAAGCAAAAGATATTTTAGTGGTGGGCAATAATGGCAGAAGTTGGCAATGTGGCAAGAAGTGGAATAGTAAAAACAAGAATTACTTCCACAGGGAAGAGGTTGTTTGCTGGCAAAATCACTAATTTCTATCCATCATTTTTCTTTTTCCCTATAAACATGGACAGAGTTGGAGAACTAAACATACAGAATAAAATTATACATACAGAATAAAAAAGAGCCTCTGACAACACTACTAAGGAAGCTACTGACCTTTTCATTGGTCCTTCATTGTGTTATTAACATTTACCACTGCCACTTCCACTCAAAGAAAGGTTTTTTTCGCATGAAGTAGGGGCTCCTTACCCTTGTGATGTAGGCTGCTGCTTTTGGTAAGGAGGAATAAAGATATTTGGAGAACCAGCCAGATGTTAGGGAAGGTTATTTGAAAGCATACATCGTAAGCTCTAGAGCACTAAGGAGGGAAGACAAAGAAAGACACTCCACAGAAAATCAGAACTGGAAGGAGGATTGTTGAAGAATGACTTGAAGAATTTCACTTTTCTAAAAAAAGGGTAGAGCTGTAAGAAAGAAGAATAAGTGGGCCTGACATAAGCCTACAAAAAAGGTGAAGGGAAAAGATGAAAGATGCAGATACATGGCAGCCATACGATGAGAAGAGAAATGACTCTTAAATACCAGTTTTACCTGAACTCAATAAGGAAGTTCATACTATGTGAATGAAAGAAGGTAAACATAATAAGCTGTTTGAAGGTGTACAACGAACAGAGTCTTCACAAAGTAATGTGATAGTGACATTAAGACTATGGTTAAAATCATTCTAAAATCCCCAAAGAAGCAAAAAGCCCCTAGTGACCGTGGCACTTGATGAAATAATTCCTCCCATGTACTTACAGAGTTGGGATAGTATCATTTTGATTGATTCCAGGCATTTTCAAAATACAGAAAGAACTTTAAATGTGAAAGTAGAAACCACTAATCATTTTTATTAAAATGGTGGTGAGATTATTTAACTACTCTTGCTAATGTAGAAGTTATTTGTATTAGCATAATCTGACTTCACATTTTCTATGTGGAGGGAGATATTTCAGCGGAGGGAGGGAGGTATACTTTATGAACATGTGTGGTCATTGTTTTCCGCAGTCTTGAGTTGTTGGAAAGCAGGATAAATGCACAAGCCACTGGTGAAACACATTTTCAAAAGACCTAATATAATGACCTGCATGAGTGATTACGTCAGTAACTGAGCTTTAATAGCTGAAATATTATAATCCATTTTTTAATAGAAAGAAAGACTTACCAATCTACATGTAAGACCAATAACTGCTATTGGATTCTGTGCAGACTGAGAAATGTCAAAAAGATTATAAAGCAGTGTTTGGTTTTTATGATGAGCAAAAAGATCAAATTCATCTAATATGAAGATCACTGGACAACTACTAGTCCGGTCACCTAAGATAGAATAAAAGTTTTATATTAAGCAATTATATCAACCTTTCTTAAATTTCCAAACTATTCGCATTTCAGTTTTTAAAACTCAATTCAACATATACTGATAATCTACTTTGGGTAGGGTACTTAGCAATGCATGTACCTCTATTCAACAAAAAAGTTATTCACAGAACAAAATAGCTCTCTATTGCCCTCAAGTAGTTCACAGTGTTATTACCAGACTCTAGTAGTTTACTGATAAAAAAATCAAGAAAATCATTTAAATGACTGGAGACTGTTTTTAAAAAATATGTAAACAATTCTATCATCAAAACATTGACAAAGATCTTGTTACACCTATACAACCAAAACACTTTGGGATAAATCATTAAGAGTCACTAATTTATGAACAAAACTATTGCTTCAAAAGAGACCTGTTTAGGTAGTAAAAATGCAAAATATATCTTCCTACAGAAATAATTTTTATAAACAATGGTTAGACTGTGAAGTTCAACCAAAACTACTTTAACTCCTTCTAAAAACAGTTTTAACATTTTGACACAGAAAAAAGTTTAACAGGACTCTGTGGATTCATTTTTCTCACAGCAACAATGCAAACTACCTTAGCAGAAAAATCACTACTACCTTAAGGTTTACGGTTTTATATTTGCATAAACAAGTGAAAAGAATATATGGTAAGGTGGCAATTACTCCAACAGATAATAAAACATATAGACTAACCTAAATGGCATACAAACCAAAGGGACTACTGAAAAGTCTAGAAATGGACCAACATAATATAGAAATTAGTATTTGGCAAATTAAATAGTACCTATCAACTGGAAAACAAGTTTATTCCAAGTCAGATCTCACTTAATATCTTTCCAAAATAAATTCCAAATTATGAATTATGTATTAAGTAAAAAAATTAGTGAACACCTTCAAAATTTGAAGAAAAAATTTTGACCACGTAAAAAATTTTAAATTTCTGTTTAACAGCAAAGTCCAAACCAAATTTAAGAAAAAAGAAAGTGCAAGACTTCTCATTAATAAGTACAAGATAAATAACCACCAAAATAAGAACTAACAGGAAATACCTAAGCCAGAAAATATCAGTGGCCAATAAAAATATGAGATGATAAGCATCATGGCTACCAAAATTATACAAATTAAACTAAGAGATGGAATTTTTTTCTATGAGGCAAACATGAAAATTAGTAACTGTCCTTGAGGTTGTGAAGAAAAAGATACTCTTAAATAAGTTAAGAAAACGGACTTTTCTAGGGTAGTTTGGTGATGTTTACTATTTTAAATGTGGTACCTTTTAATCCAGAATTCTATTCAATGAAATTTACCCAACAAAATACCTGGATGATCATCTAAGCATTTCTTCCTAATCATACATTAGAAATAAATGTCCTAGTTAGTGATTAGTAAGTTATGATTTACTGTATCTGTAATTTTTATTTATGAAACAACATATGAGAAGCATAAAAATGATGATACAGGTTATAATTTACTGACATGGAAAGATGCTTACAATATACTGTTAGTAAGTGAAGAGATGTAGATTACACAATATGGAAAATTATTTTACTTTTATAAAAATTATGTCCATCTATATCAATACATTTTGGTGAATAAAGATAGGAAAACATAATTGGGATACTCATTACTACAGTGGTGGGGTTACAGTGATCATTATTTTATTCTTTTTTGTATTTATTTTATTAGGGTTTTCTTTTTGTAAAAGCATGTAGTAAACCTTAATATTCAGAGGGAAAATAGAGCTAAACAAATATCTTGTAATACTGTTAAATATACCAATATTTACCTTTCTTTAAAGCTTCCAGAAGAAACGAAAGGTTTTCAGCAAAGCTTCCCTAAACAACAAAGAGAGATACTATGATTATAACTTTAGTAAAATAATGAACAAAAGAGCACTAAGTAACTTAGACATTATAGTAATATAGACACTGTGTATCTAACTTTCCTGGTAAATTAGTTGTTGGCCAGACTTTCAGTTGAGCATCCCTATGCTTACAATCTAACTTTAAATATAAATGCATTCATGGTATAGCACTGAAATTTGCATTACTATGCCATGTTCATAATGTTAGTTACAGGAAGAAACCCGTAAAATTTGTAAAAATGTTAACTTTATTTAAAGGTAGTTTTTAAGAGTTATATTCTAAACAGTCAGATAACTAGATATGCATTACACATTTTATCTTCAAACATATCAGACTCTTTAGTACCACTAAAAAAAAATGACCATGAATATAAATGAGATTCAAAAGGAAAAAGTAGAAATTCTCCTCAAATATTCCATACTATGATAGTATTTCTCTGTTCAAATACATATGATAGAATTTGTATACATCAATATCAAATTTCATTATGTTAGTTACTTAACCTAAACATTTTTGGATGCAACTTGAATATTCTAGATGGAAATTAATAGAGTAGCGGATGAAGATATTATCCAGATATTCCAGCTTCCCTGCTGAAATATTTTTGCATTAAAGTCATTAATTTTTACTTGATTAATATTTTTAATTTAAATAAAACCAACTTTAAATTTGAGATGTAAAGAAGGAAAGAAACCCGTTTGTTTCCCAATTGAGAACTGATATAAAATAACATAATAGGCTTTTAAGAGCTTCTAGGTATTTTGTGATGATAATATGCTGTCAAGACAATAGTATTTCAATACTATTTCCAAGGTAGGCAGAACAAGAGGTATTTACTATAACATAAATAAAGGTTTAAAGAAAATCTATTGGAAAATCAGAGGTCAAAGTTACTCAACGACTGCTTGTCTTTTTTTTCTTTAAACACTATTTACCTAACATTAAGTTTAAGTATATACTACTTACATAAACACATATGCACATTAAAGAATGTACTATGTAAGTATGTACTACATAAATATACATATCTGTGTGTGTGTGTGTGTGTGTATAAAAATATACAAGTTTGCTCTAAATGTATCAGAACAGAAAGACTCTGGGCTGAGTTAAATGACTAAGGTTCTTAATGCCCAGTCTTTAGTCAAGTTAATTATGCTCTCTGACATTCATGTGCTTAATCAATGAAGAAATTAATATTAATAATCTCTATATGTGAGTATTAGGACTTTGCTGATGACTAGGATATTAAACAACTGTTGTCTTTCATTATTTCATATGGATCCAATGTAAATAGGTCTACTTAGTAAAGTTAGGAACAATAATCCCCATCAGTTGGAAATTAAAAGACCAACTGAGCCTGTGTAATAGTAACTCTTCTTGACCAAGTAGCCCACTATTTTCAACATTTGAGTCTGAACAGAAGGTAGAACATTAGATTTATAGAAGGGTATTTTGAACCGGCACTTCGAAGACCTGAAGACAATGGAAAGGTAATATGTGATAGGCTCTAAATATAGGTAATTAATAATGAATGAAACTACTAAATGCTAGGAGGCTTAACACAACTATGGCTGCATCACTGCAGTAAAGAGCACACAGTTTAGAGATTAGAATGACAGCACTGCATGATCACCAATGACCAGACAATGAATTTGGGATGTATATAACCCACTTCAATTACAAAAGTATTATAAGGATGAATCACTTGATCATGAAAATTCAGGCAGCAGCAAATAAAGCTAATCATGTTTCCTTTGAGCCCTATAAATCAAGTGATAGGTACAAATGAAAACCCCAAACATTTCTAATCAGTTTCTTTTGAGTTACTGATGTCACTGTCTGGCAATTCCAAGGTGTTACAGTAAGTTATGGATTATTTCTGAAAACATTTTAATGGTAAGAGATAGCTGACATCTGTACAGGAATTACCAATGCAATATTATTTTTTCCTAACAGAAATAATATTTCCTTTTGTTTTTAGAACAAATCTGTTAAGTATAGTAAGGTAATGTCATTTAACAGATGAGGAATCTGAAATTCAGAAATATTCGCCAGCCATGGTCACAAGGTAGTCAGTGGTTTTAAGGAAAGACTCAAATCCACTTTTCATTAAGCTTCAAATTTAGCACATTTTGCACTATTCCCACGCTACCCCAAATCTATGAAGACTAGAAACAGACTGTACTATTTCAAAAAAAAAATTAATCTATTTCCAAGGATAGAAAATCAGAATAGCTTACAGACAGAGAAACAAATTCAGATAATATCTACATAAACCTGGATTTCTTAGCTATTGTATAGCTGGGCTAGTACAGTCTACTTAAAAACAAAATCTAAACATAAAGATTTGGTGAATAAATGCATCCTAGTACATTATACTTTTTATAAGAACCCTCCTTACACTTCTCAAAATATAAAAATATATCTATGCTGTACAGACTTTACTTTGAAGAGTATTTAATAAAAGAATGGAAATGATACTTACAAAAACTTTATCTCCAACTACATTTTCCAGATTTAATTGCCTTGTTATTTCCTTTAGGGCAATTTTATCATTTATCTGTAGCAGTCCTGAAGTAAAGTCATTTAAAAGTATTTAATTAAAATGAAATATGTAGTTGATATAGTATATATTATTTTCCAGTCCAGCAAATTTTCTAATGCTTTTTAAGTTTAACTAGGAAAAAAAAAAGTCAAAGCCCTTAGTTTACATTATTTCCTTTTTAAAACTCAGCAATAAAGAAAATTGGTAGACTCAAGGAACCATCTCCCTTGGGGTTAGTATTATTTAAAAAAAAGAAAAAGACAAAAACATGAGTCTTGTAAGCCTTCATTATTTGTTTTGTTTTGTTTTTAAAAATACTGTGTATGGTGTACTAAAGTAAAAGTTGTTAAACATGGATCTAGTTTTTAAAATACAATTGTTAATCCAGATTTAAAACATAATAGTGAATTAAGTTTTACAATATAAAAGGCTCACATAATTTATATCATTTCCAAAGCAAAATGATGATATACTTACCATTTAGGTGAACTTGTAATATATTTTCAGTCACTTCTTCTACTTTCACTAGTTCTTTCAAAGCATGGTCTATTAACTAAATAATATTGAAAAGTTTATAAAATATTTAATAGGTAAAAGATGATGAGCCCATGTTCTTTTTTAAACCACGAATAAAAGGAACAGAATATAAACAAATTGCTACTTTAAACAAACAAATAAGCAGATTCTTCACAGATTAAAAGGTTTAACTAGGGCATCTAATGTCTGGCTCTTCTTGGGATGCTGAGCTAGGACTGCTGCCATATACTCTGAATCATCAACCCAAATTCTAATAAATGTTTAGAAACAACCCTTAAGTTTTTAAAGAAATATTCTCTGTAAGTCACATAAAACTATGGCTGCTTAAGAACTTTATGTCTCAGTCAGTTTATTATATATGTCTAGCATTAATACATACTGAAATCAATTAAAAGTTACTGAAAAATATGTATGAACAATGCAAAATGATTATATTTTAAAAGTCTACTCCCAGCATACTAACTTCTACGACATACTGTGAATTACTGTGGATGTTATCATGAAATGAAAATTGAAAAAGAAAGAAACGGTAAGAGTTTAAGCTGAAAAAGAGATGTTCCTTCTGTTAATTGCTAGATACAGTAGTCACCTCTTATCTACTATTTTGCTATCGATAGTTTCAGTTACCCAAGGTCAACTGCAGTATGGAAGCAGATAGTCCTCCTCCTGATGTATCATTAGAAGATCATTAGTAGCCTAACACTTCATCACAATACTTCCATCATTCTCCTCACTTCATCTCCTCACATAGGCATCTCATCATCTCTCATCATTATAAGACAAAAAGAGTGAGTATAGTACTATTACATACTTTCAGAGAGACAGAAAAATCACGTAACTTTTATTACAGTATATTTTTATAATTGTTCTATTTTATTATTAGTTTTATTGTTAGTCTCTTACTGTGCCTAATTTATGAATTAAACTTTATCATAGGTAAGTATGTATGTATAGGAAAAAAACAGCATATATAGGGTTTGGTACTACCGTAGTTTCAGGCATCTACTGGGGGCCTTAGAATATATCCCCTATAGGTAAGGGGGGAATACTATATACAGAGAAAGTCCTTATTAAAGAAACTTAGAGCTTACAATGAAAAAATTATTACTACTACTAATATAATAACTACTTCTAAAAATATATTCAGAAAGAATTATACCACCATAAACTATTCAACTATAAAGCTTCACATTTTTATAATTACAGGTTTTTATGCCACTTAGCCACATTTTTTTACATTTTTTTGATTTTTGATATCACTCCTATATTGCAATATCACACATACTTCTTCATATTAATATTGCATAATTTTTTAAAATTTGAAAATAAATAGAATTAAGAAAAGCCAAAAGGTTTTTAAAAAGGAAGAGATATGATGGAGGCCTATTTCTTCTAATATTAAAATAGAAGAATATTATCACAAAATATCCATGAAAATAGACTATATAGAAAAAAGGAGACTGGTAAAGATGCCATCAAAATTTAGTGAGAAAAAAAGGATTATTCAACAAAGACACAGGGATAACTGGTAAACTACTGTAAAAAACAATACTATCTGTATTTACAATATTCTATTTGTTACTAAAACATCTTTGTACAATAGGAAAAAGCAATTATCTTCATTTAAAAGTAACTGGATTTTACAAGAGGATATCAAACATACTAGCTATTACTGATATTTATATGGCTTTTAAAAGCATATTCTAACCGCAGATTATAGGTAATCTAGGTCTTTAAAAGGGGAGAGTCTCAAAATAACAACTGTCATGAGTAAAACCCCAGCTGAGAACTAACATTCTTTACAGAGAACTGTTAGAAGATGAGATGGTATTTCGCTACCTTTGGATCAAGAAAGACCCTATCACAAGAGTCATCTGCAGATGATACAAACTTGTTCTTTCAAAATATGGCCTTTGCTATCTTTTCTTACATTCTTGCCTCCACCTCTTGATATCTTACTTACATAACATTTATGTTTCCCTGCTTTTGATTTTACGTTTGATGAATTGTTGGAAACATTTCAATGTCTTTGTGGAAAGTAATTGGGTTAATAATACCTTCATTTTATATAACAGATTTACAGCACTCCTTCCACTGAATTTACTTTAAATATCAAGTTATTATGATTTGCCTAGGTCAGCTCACAACTCTTTTATGGGGTGTATGTGTGTGTGGTCTGAAACAGTAATTTGAATGTATTAGCAAGTATGTTTTCAAATAATTCCAGTTCTAATTTGGATATATCTTAAATTTACTATTAATTTCTAGGTAATCAATCATGTAAAGTTACTTTTTTCATGGATACAATGTCATCTTCTCAAATATTTCAAACTATATTATATAGTAAATAAACTTAGTTGATTATTAATGATACATTAACTAGCAAAACCAACCTGACTACCTGTTTCCACATTCTTCGTAGCTAAAAATTAATTTTTTAAACATACCAGCATAATTCACTTAGAAATATCAGCAACCAGGGATTTTAATACTTACGTATTATTTAACACTTATATATGTCCCAAACACTTTAAAATACACAAGATTCAACAATTTGCGACTAGAAGAAATATCCTGTTTAACAACTTAACAAATTTGCCTACAGTAATTTCTGTATAAAAGAGAATTTTCCAGGGTCCAGTCTGTCATTTGAAATGGCACCTATTTTTTAAAAATAAAAGGTTTGAAATACAATGAACTGTATCAGTTATGTGTTATCTTTATCATTAACTATAGATTTTGAATGTATTTCAGAGAGTTTGGCTAAGAATAGTGTTTTATGTACTGTACTCTTTTGAATTCAAATTTACACATACTCATACCAGGGAGAGTTCTTATCTAAGAATAACCTATTTTCTCTCTCAGGATACTCCCACCCACAACAAATTACAAAAGTGGCACAAGTTAAACAATACTCCTCAGCTCTTTGACCACTCATTATTGGAGTATAGCAGGAATAAATTAAATTGTACTGAAATGGAATACCAAGCAGAGGATTCTTCCATATTCCAGTGAAGTCACACCAGATAAATGACTTCAAAGCATCTGAACACAGCTCTGGTTTAAGAAGTAAACAACTGAATAAACTATCAGCATGCCAAGAATATCTATTTTATTAACTGGTGAATACTATGCCATAAGGAGTTTATAATAAGATGATGTGAAAGAGAAATAAATTTCATAACATTTATACATTTCATAAATTTATTACATAATAAAATGAAAAGAACAGCAAGCTGACAAAAAAGATTATTTACTACTGAAAATGCACATTTTAAGAAGTAAGTGTTTTGAGTTATTTAAGTTAGACATATAAACAAAAGACAACGGAGTAAGATGAATGACAAGGAGCTAGAGAAGGACTGTCCAAAACCAAAATGCAGTAGCTCATTTGAAGAAGCAAACACAGAACTGATGGTGAAGAGTTACATTGGTGATACAGTAGAATGCTAAGTGAGAGGAAGAAAAAGATGAAAAGAAACACAAAAGAAATAACACAAAGAAATGGGAACAAAGGCTTAACAACTGTACGCTCTAATCCAAAGAAAGAACAAGAAATGAGAGAAATATTCAAAAATAAAAGGTCATTTTTTATTAAAGAAAGACTTTAGTTCATATAGAGAGGGTTCATACAAATATCAGTAAATTTTATGATCAATCCTTAGATGTAGCTTGTGGATAACTAATGCAATAATGCAAGAAAAGGAAATTAAAAGGTATAGATTAGAGGTAGGGAAAGAAGAAATAAAACTGCTTTGTTTGCAGTGACATAACTGTCTGTGCAGGAAATCCCAAAGAACTGACAAATACTCAATTATAGCAAGGTTGTAGGATACAAAATAAAAAAGTCACTTGCTTTCCTATTTATGAGCAAAACACATTTGGAATATGAAATTAAAAACATGATTCACATTAGCACCAAAAAATTTAAATTTCTAGGACATAAATCTAAAAAAATATATATATATAGGGTCTATCTGAGGAAAACCACCAAACCCTGATAAAAGACCTGAATAACGGAAAAATATCCCATGTTCATAAATGTGAAGACTCAATCTAGCTAAGAAACCAATTCTTTCCAATATGATCTACAGATGGAACATGAAATCCCACAATTAAACACAAAAATTCCCAGTATTTCATGGATATTGATAAACTGATTAGATCTAAAGTTAATATGGAAAAGCAAAGTACCCGCAATACCCAAGACAGTATTGCTTAAAAGCATGAAGGTCGAAGAATGACACTACCCAACTTCAAGACTTACTATCAAGCTACAGTAATCAAGACAGTGTGATGTAAGAACAAACAGATCAGGGGAACAGAGCAGAGCGCCCAGTAACAGACACACACAAATACAGTCAACTGTTCTTTGACAAAGCAGCAAAGGTAATTCAGTGAAGAATAGATAGCCTTTTCAACAAATAGTGCTGGAACAGCTGGATATTTATATGCAAAAAAATGAATCCAGACATAAATCTTTCACAAAATTTAACTCAAATTAATCACAGACCTAAATATGAAATGAAGAACTCAAAAACTTATAGAAGATAATATAACAGAAAACCTAGATGACCTTGGGTTTGGTGATGAAGTTTTAGATGCAATACCAAAATCACATATGAAAGATATAATTAATAAGCTGGACATTTTAAAATTAAAAACTTAATGTTCTCCCAAAGACAATGTTAATGGAATTAAAAGAAAAACCACCGAGTGGAAGAAAATATTTACAAAACACATCTTTGATATATCCAGAATTTACAAAGAACTCTTAAAACATATCAATGAGAAAAGAAACAACCCAATTTAAAAGTGGTCATAAAATACCTCACCAAAAACATACAGATGAAAAATAAGCATATGGAAAGATGCTTAGTATCACACACTGTTAGAGAATTACAAATTAAAATAGCAATGAGATACCACTGCTTCTCTACTAGAATGGCTAAAATTAAAAAAAAAAATGATAATACCAAATACTGGTGAGGACACAAAGCAACAGAAACTCTTGTTCACTGTTGGTGAGAAAGCAAGATGGTATAGCCACTTTGAAAAACAAATTGGCAGCTTCCTATAAAGCTGAACAGTTTTACCGTATGATCCAGCAACTGTCATTCCTAAGTTGAGCACCTTATGTTCCTAGGTTGAAGACTTACATCTACAAAATAACCTGCACCAAATTCTTATAGTAGCTTTATTCATAATTGCCAAAAATGAGAGTCAACCAAGATGTCCTTCAATAGGTGAATGGATAAACAGTGGTACATTCATACAATGGAATATTATTCAGCAATTAAAAGAAATGAGTTGTCAAGTTATGAAATGATATGGAGGAACCTTAAGTGCATATTGCTAAGTAGAAAAAGCCGATCTGAAAAAGTGATATAGTGCATGATTCGAACTATATGACATTCTGGAAAAGACACAACTATGGAGACAATAAAAAGACCAGTGGTTGCCAGGGGTTGGGGGGTGGGATGATGAATAGGTAAAGCACAGTGGATTTTTACAGTGGTGAAACTATTTTGTAAGGTGCTGAGATGGTAGATAATGTGACATAATTCGTTTGTACAAAATTGCACAATACACAGAGTGAACCTTAGTGTCAACAGATTTTAGTTAATAATAATGCATCAATATTGGTATGTCATTTTTAAAAACTGTACCACACCCAAAGCAAGATGTTAACAATAGGGGAAATTGTGTTTGTGTGTTGGAGGGTAATACAGGAATTCTCTGTACCATCTGTTTACTTTTCCTGTTAAAAAATGTATCCATTTTAGCCAGTTTACTAGTGAAACAGAGTATAGTTTTAATATGTATCTACTTAAACATTTTTAAAAGTGTTCATTAGATCTATTTCCTTTTTCTGAACTTCCTCCATGCTTTTAGGGAGACACTTCCAAGATGAAGTTCAGAATAAATTGAGTCATTAGCGGCTGAGATTGTATTGTTAGTTAGGCTTGCCACTTTGATGCACAAATCACTGATATTCAACTTCTCTGTTGTAATGTTGTTTTAAGATATACAGTTTGAGATAGAATAATAGGTCTAATGTATTGATTTCCTATACCTCATTTACTCCTGTACTGATATGAGTATCACTACAGGCTTCTTGAAGAATTGTAGTAACTAAAAAAAAGTCTTCTTCAAACATTTATATAGAATTTCTGGAGTTAAAATGAAAATTAGGAAAAAAAATTTTCCTTTACTGAAGAAAGATATGAGTTCGTATTAAGAAGGCTTAAAAATTTGCAGTTACCAAATTTTTATTAAGTTATCATCTATATACAACCTTATGAAGGTTTCACATGAGCAACATTGTGGTTACTGGATTCCCCCCTATTATCAAGTCCCCACCTCATTCCCCATTACAGACACTGTCCATCAATGTAGTAAGAAGCTATATACTCACTACTTGTCTTCACTGGAGTATACTGCCTTCCCCGTGCACCCCCCCTACATTATGTGTGCTCATCACCCCTTAACTCCCTTCTCTCTCTCTTCCTGCCTGCCCTCCCCACCCCCTTTCCCTTTGGTAACCGCTAGCCCCTTCTTGGGTTATGTGAGTCTGTTGCTGTTTTTTCCTTCAGTTTTTACTTTGTTGTTATACTCCACAAATGAGGGAAATCATTTGGTACTTGTCTTTCTCTGCCTGGTTTGTTTCACTGAGCATAACTCCCTCTAGCTCCATCCATGTTGTTGCAAATGGTAGGATTTGTTTCTTTCTTATGGCTGAATAATATTCCATTTTGTATATGTACAACATCTATTCATCTACTGATGGACACTTAGGTTGCTTCCATATCTTGGCTATTGTAAATAGTGCCACAATAAACATAGGGGTGCATATGTCTGTTTGAATCTGGGATCTTGTTTTCTTTGGGTTAATTCCTAGGAGTGGAATTTCTGGGTCAAATGGTATTTCTATTTTTAGTTTTTTGAGGAACTTCCATATTGCTTTCCACAATGGATGAACTATTTTACATTCCCACCAGCAGTGTAGGAGGGTTCTCCTTTCTCCACATCCTTGCCAACATTTGTTGTTGATTGTTGTCTTTTGGATGTTGGCCATTCTAACTGGTGTGAGGTGATATTTCATTGTGGTTTTAATTTGCATTTCCCTGATGATTAGCGATGTGGAGCATCTTTTTATGTGCCTGTTGGTTGTCTGAATTTCTTCTTTGGAGAGGTGTCTGTCCATATCCTCTGCCCATTTTTTAATCGGGTTATTTGCTTTTTGGGTGTTGCGGCATGTGAGCTCTTCATATATTTTGGATGTTAGCCCCTTATCGGCTATGTTGGTTACGAATATATTCTCCCATACTGTAGGATGCCTTTTTGTTCTACTGATGATACTCTATGCTATAAAGAAACTTTCTTAGTTTGATGTAGTCCCATTTGTTCATTTTTACTTTTGTTTCCCTTGCTTGAGGAGATATGTTCAGGAAAAAGTTGCTCATGTTTATATTCAAGAGATTTTGCCTATTTCTAAGAGTTTTATCATTTCATGACTTACATTCAGGTCTTTTATCCATTTCAAGTTTACTTTTGTGTATAGAGTTAGACAGTAATCCAGTTTCATTTTCTTACATGAAGTCCAGTTTTGGTGTTATCAATTTTATAACCAACACAAACTCAAAACAAATTAGCTCTAGTGGTCATCATTAATGTTCATCAAATACTTTTAGTTAACACAAAAGCAAACAGTATACTTCTACTGTGTCCAGATACTGAGTGAGGGTTGTTATGACTGCATAATCTAGACTATCCAGATTGATATAGCAGTTTATAAAGGCAAAAAAGAAAAGTCTGCCCCTGAGCTTTTCCCACAAAACAGAAATCAAATATAATTCCAAAGGGGGAAAAAAATTCAAACCCAGCATATTGTAAGTGATGTGGAAAAAACTTGTGATGCATTTAAAATACTTTTTTCATATTTTACAATATTCTTAAAGTTCCTTTTCCTCTTATTTTTCTATTGTCTAGATGGCTTTAGTGATTTGTTCTGTTAACCAAGTTATTAGGTCCCTACCACACCCCAGGCTTCAACCAACTTTTCTTTCTTTAGTTTTTTAAATAGATTGTATGGTCATACAGTTCACATATCAAAAATTATAAAAGGATTAATAGGGAGAAGATCCCTAGCCCTGTTCCTGTTTGCCTAGGTCCTATTCCCCTCAACAAATAACCCACTGTATGACTGTTTAAAATTTCAGGGAATTTTGGGTCCACATACAAACCAATAGATACATGAATTTTTCTCTTCCCTTTTTTTTATGGACTATACACAAATGTTTCCTTATTCTTCTTTATTGCTGCATAATAGTCTATTATATAGATGGGTGTACCCATGAATTATTTACCAGTACCCTGTTGATAGGCATTACTGTTGTTTGACAACTTTCACTAACAAATAAGCTACAATGAGTAACTTTGTACATATATCATTTCCTAAGTGTGGGTTCTTATAAATGCTGCTGCTGAGTTAAGGGGCACATGCATTTGTAGTATGGTTAGATTTTGCCTAATTCTATTTGCATCAGTTACACTACCATCAGGGACATGTGTTCTATTTTCCCATAAGTTCACAAATTCAGTGTGCAATCAAATCCTATGTGTTTTCTGTCAACCTGAGAAAAAAAACAGCTATAGTTTTCATTTAAATTACTTAATTATGAGTGAAATTATACATGTTTATAAGTTTAGACCTATTCATATTTAATTTCTGTGACTGTTTCTGTGTATGCACTTTGCTGTTTTTCTATTGTTAATAATCACTGATAGCAACTTACTAGTCACATAGTTCTGCTGTAGAAACTACCCGTAATAGCAATAAAGTCAAATACAAAGGAAAATCACAATAACTCAAGAATAAAGAAATAGTGGTATATAGAAGGAAAAATAATTTTTTTGGGAGGGTAACCAAGCAAATATAATAAAGATGTAAAGTAGAAGAGAATTCTAGAAGATGTGACTGTACACATGAAAAATTGCGTGAGTTAGGGTTAAACAATAAACAATAAAATAATGGGGGAAATAAAAAGAATGCATTGTAGCACAGTATGATAGTTACCTAATCTATAAACAGGGACAATACCTAACTTGTATGTTTGGTGTAAACACAGATTAAAAGCCCAATGTACAGCTCAGTAAATGCTAGTTTTTCCACTGGCAACAACTAATTCTTCAGGGACAAAGAACCATTATGGAACAAACATCAACTGAAAATTTGTTGTGGTGGGGAAAACTAAGGTAAAAAAAAGATATACTCAACTCAAATATACTACCTTAACTTTATAAGGCTTTTTTGTATGTGTTCTATGATTTAAAGAAAAAAAAAAAAAAGCTAAATGTCAGTAACAAAACAATAAAAAACATTTTCACTGTTGTCTGTAAGAATCATCACATGCCTACCAAAGCAAAGAAACACCAGAAATCAACAGCTTTACCATGGTCTTTCCTGATCCTCGGGGTCCAATAATGAGAAGAGAATTACTTTCTCCACAGATAGCAGTTCTTTTTAGCAGCTCAATTAAGTGTCTGAAATGAAATAAATACACCAAAATTTAAAAAGGAAGGCTGTAATAATTCACTAGCTAATATTTTTTTAAAGCTAACTTGAATATGCACAGAAAACAAGCATTCCTTTTTACTCTCCCTCGGGCACACGACTTAAGGTCTAATTAGTCCTACATGGAAGAGATGGCTGGCCAATACTAATTCTCTGGAAACCTCAAAAGGACACCAAGTAAGTTTGAAGTATCTTGGTCTTTATGATAGTATGAGACAAGGGACAACAGTGGCAACTGTTAGGACCTTTTACTCCATACCTGGTTGCCAGATGGAAGAAGCTCAGAATTCTCTCTATAATAACACATAGCAGAGACAACAGAAGATTGAAAGTTAAATGGCTTTCTCATTATGGAAATATTTGTATCTGCTCTTGCTTCAGGATGTTCATGATAGACACAAAGCAACAATTTCTGTATAATTGCTATAAAACCTAAAAGGCATCTTTAAGTAAGTTCCTAAGAGACAAGTGGATAGCTAAACTTACTTATATTGTACCTGTACTCCAAATAGGTTACTGTGTGAACTCTGATGACAAAATCTTTCACGTAAAATTCTTTGTACCTGATAAAAAATAGAAGTGAATGAATGTAAGTGAAAATATTACACATGCAATAAAAAAAATGAATGAAAACATACATTTATAACAGTAAGAATTAGGTATTTCTGAATCAACTCAAACCTCCCTGAAAAAATAATTTGTCTTCAAGAGTTCTGTCACCACTTTCATGAGCGACAAAATTAACAGTTCTCAAGTCCCAGAGAATGGATGAGAATTTAGTTGTGAAGGTTTCAGTAGGAGAATTACCTGAGATACATCAGTAATTTGAGGGCTATTTTAATACATGTGAATGAATAAATACCTCATTTTTTTAGGTATTGTCAGCCAAGGAACAAAGACAGGAAAGAATCTAATAATGTAATCTAATTTAATAATGTTCATGGCACCATACTCCAATCTCCGGAGATCAACACATCTAAAACTGGCTTTAGCTCAAACCCTGTCAATATGCACCTGTCATGAAAGTCAGGATTCTGAGGGAGTAAGTTTAAAAATCTATAGTTATTGAGGACCTATAAGATGCAGAGAGTAATACTATTTTAAAAGAATATAACCCATGCCCCCAAAAAACTGCAAATCTTTGGAAAGAAATGACACATTCAAGAAACAACCTGCAAAATAGTATTAACTCAGCATATAAAGAAATGCTCAATTATATGGAAGAAATCACATTCATCTAAACTATAAAAAAAGGAATCACCAGAATGAATTAAAAAAAAAATTATTGTAAACAGCTAAATTTTGAGTTAGCCTGAGAATGTGGGCTAAAAAATTATGTCTACCACATTCTTTAGAAAGATGGACCATTAAAGCCATTCCTTTTCTGCATCTGCTGTTGATACATGGATAAAAATCTTAAGATGTTATTTCAGATTTGGCTCCATTAGCAGAAACAGGAGGACTCCAAGATTATTTGCTTCTCCCAGACTGACAGCATGGGACTGATCCTTCATGTACTGAAGAAATAATGTACCAAAACATGTACCATAGGCTATTCACTGGGGATAGAATAATCCATACTTACCATTATGGAGGAAAAAAGAATAAAAGGACTGGTGTCAGAAGAGCCAATTACGTGAATTTTAAAGTCAGTCTTTCCTAAATCTTAACTTCTTTAATCTATGAAATGGACGCAATAACAATTTCTCACAGGCCTCTTTTGAAGATTAAGTAAGGCAGTTATCTTTAACACAATATAGGTATTACATAAGTAATAGATGGTATCTGTAAAACATTTAAATGAGTTTATGTGGAGATTCAACTAATCATAATGTCTTTTCCACTATTTAGGTAAGATCATTGGAATCAAAAGACAAATCTTAGTCATTTTCTTTAAAACTTTATTAAGGTCTAACAGAATCAACAACTATGTATAAAATAAAAGATAGTGTTAATCAAGTGAAGCTTAGTGAAAACATATATTCAAAAAAATCAAAGTGATCTGAGATGGAGGTTAAATAGATACAGGTATAGAAGTTAATTAAACTGTACATGGAAGATTTATGTAGTTTACAAAGATAAGTAAGTTACATTTCAGCTAAAATTTTTTTTGATTTAAACATTTTTCTTTACAAAAGACGGACCTTAGATGCCAGTAAAATTTAGTTTTGATTACAAACAAAAACAAAAACAAAAAAACAAAAACAGGAATTCTGGTCAAGCCAGATAAATAGAAATGCCACGGTAGAATGCCCATTCCCTACTGGAAGCACTAAGAGAGAGACATACATAGTTACATGCTCCAGCACTTGGACTATAGTATGCACTCAAGACAATATTAAATATTCATGAAAAAAACACTCAATATAATAGGAATCTAAGAGAAGTTCCTCAACTTAATTAATTAAAAGGCATCAATGAACACCTACAGCTAAAATCATATTCTATAGTGAAAGACTGAATGCATTTCCCTACTATTAAAAACAAAACGAGAATGTCTGTTCTTGCCACTCTTAATTTTACTGAAGGTTCTAATGGGAGCAATTAGACAAAAAAAAAAAAAAAAATGAAAGGCATCCAGATTGGAAAGGAAGAGGTAAAACTATCTCTTTTTGGAGATTATATATCTTACACACAGAAAATTCTAAGGAATATACTACAAAACTATCAGAATTAATAGTTCAGCAAGTTTGCAGGGTACAAAACATTAAAAAAATCAACTGCATTTAGATACACCAGCAATGTAAAACTAAAAAATGAAATTTAGAAAACAATACCATTTATAACATTATTAAAAGAAGTAAAACTTAGGAATGAACTTGAAACTCTGAAAATAATATTAAAATAAACTGAAATAAAAACACATTTAGGAAGACATGAGTAAAGTTAGTTCTAATTATCCAAAAACAGACAAAGGGTAAAATTAAGAAGTAGTCTAAGACATTCCCCCTTTGAGAATGGACAGAGTGACTCTTCAAAGTGCTAAAGTGAGAATTCAAGTCAAGAAAATGACTATTTCTCTGATCAATGTTGCATCTCTGATCTTGAGATGAATGAAAAAAAATATATACTAACCTGTGAAAGGTACTCTGTATGTATCAAGTTGTTACTCTTTGATTTACGACTGCTCATTTCAACAACTTGAAATCCTTAAAAAAGTAATATTAATAATTTTAGTTGAATATAATAAAGACTATTGGCTTAAAGAGACCATTTAAAGAATTGACTATTATGCAATCAAAATAAACACAAGTTTTAAAACCTGAAAAATGTTCAAATCTCTTGATGTTTATTAAACCAGTGGGATGGTTAAATAACACATTAGATGGAATATTTTATAGCAACTGAGGAAATTATAAAGAACTTAAAATAACATGCAAAATACTTTCAAGTACCAAAACAGAATTCATAAAAGATACACAAAAATATTAATAGTGGTTACCTCTGGATATAACTATATGTGGGCTTTTTTTGTCTTTTATTATACTCTAGTCTACAAATTTTCTAAAATGAACATTTCTGCAGACAAAAACAAAATACTTAATAAAAAAGTTATAGCAGGGGATCCTGGGACTCCTACTTATACGGTGCTTTCTATACTATGATTTTACTTACTATTCCATCATAGCAGAACAAGACATAAAGAGTAAGAAGAGCCTGAATGTCTATGCACGTCCGTACCAAATGCAACCCTAGGTGACTATTATTATTTAGATGTAGAATTTTTGGTAGAACCTGCTATTACTCATGCATACTATTCCAAGGATCAATGAAATGGGTTTTCACAAGGAATGACTTAGCCTCATCATCCTTCTTTAGCTTGTATACTTCATATATTATCATTTTTTAGTAGATCTTTCTCTCAAATTGTTTTATTCAAATGAATAAACCTAATTTTTCAATTTCAGAATTTCGTGTAACAAAATTGGTCTATTCTATTGCCTAAAAAATTTCAATCCAATCCATTTCTATCACTACCTGTCTATTCTACTTTAAATCACCACTATTTCTTGATAGGAAATACATGGGAACTTCTTTTATTTTCTCTAAATCTTAACCCCATTTATGATACTACTTTCACATAAAAAAACCTTCAATTCAGGGAGGAGCCAAGATGGCAGCATGAGTAGAGCAGTGGAAATCTCCCAAAACCATATATATTTTTGAAAATACAACAAATACAACTATTCCTAAAAGAGAGACCAGAAGACACAGTACAACAGCCAGACGACATCTATATCTGCGAGAACCCAGCACCTCACGAAGGGGGTAAGATACAAGCCATGGCCAGGCGGGACCCAAGCACGCCCCTCACCCCAGCTCCTCGGTGGGAGGAAAGGAGTCAGAGCAAGGAGGGAGAGGGAGCCCATGACTGCTAAATACCCAGCCCTAGCTCTCTGCACTGGGAGCGCAGACACACAGTGCTTGGTGTGCTGGATACTACGGAACTGGGAAAGTAAAATCTGCGAGTGGGTACCCGCAGCTGGGGCCCCTGGGACAGAAGGAAAGCAAATGCTTTTAGAAAGTCTTAAAGGGAGAGGGGCCTCACAGCTGCATGGAAGTGTCCCAATGAAATCAGCCTAGCTGCTGGGAATCCCGGGGAACTCCAGGCACCCTAACGCCCTGGGCGGCAGCACAGCTCTGAGGCCCCTCATGGCAATAAACAGACTCCTGCCCATTCCCCCTCTGGTGCAGTCCGGCCATAGCGGAGCAGTAGCCTGAGGCCAGCCATGCCCACACCAGCTGTGCAGAGCTTCCTTCACACCAGCATGGGCAAGAATCAGAGACCCGTCTGTGCGCAGCTGCCCAGCAAAAGATGCAAGGGGTCACCATTCTCACAGAAGAGGAAGGCCACAAACTAGCAAGAAGGAACATTCTCCCAGCTGACACATGTGCCAACTCCCCAAAACTACCTCTATCGCCATGAAAAGGCATAAGAATTTGATTCAGACCAGACTAACAGGACCAGACTAACAGAGACAACCCCTGAGAAGGAGCTTGGTGAGATAGACCTAACCAATCTTCCTGAAAAAGAATTCAAAATAAAGGTCATAACCATGCTGATGGAGCTGCAGAGAAAAAGCAAGAGCTAATGGACAAAGTAGGGAGGGAGACTATAGAAATAAAACATCATCTCTCGAAGAACTTAAAAGCAGAATGGACAAGATGCAACAGACTGTTAATGGAATAGAAAGCAGAGAACAGGAACACAGAGAAGCTGACGCAGAGAGAGATAAAAGGATCTCCAGAAATGAAACAATATTAAGACAACTGTGTGACCGACCCAAAATGAACAATATCAGCATGATAGGGTTACCAGAAGAAGAAGAAGAGAGAAAAAGGGATAGAAAGTGTATTTGAAGAAATAATTGCTGAAAATTTCCCCAAACTGGGGGGAGGAAATAGTTGCTCAGACCATGGAAGCACACAGAACTCCCAACAGAAGGGATGCAAGGAGGACAACACCAAGACACATAATAATTAAAATGGCAAAGATCAAGGACAAGGACAGAGTTTTAAAGGCAGCTAGAGAGAGGAAAAAGGTCACCTACAAAGGAAAACCCATCAGCTATCTATCATCAGACTTCTCAACAGAAACCTTACAGGCCAGAAGAGAATGGCATGATATATTTAATGCAATGAAACAGAAGGGCTTTGAATGAAGAATACTGTATCCAGCATGATTATCATTTAAAATATGAAGGAGGGATTAAACAATTCCCAGACAAGCAAAAGTTGAGGGAATTTGCCTCCCACAAACCACCTCTACAGGGTATTTTAGAGGGACTGCTCTAAATGGGAGCACTCCTAAGGCTAAATAAAGAATCATCAGACAGTGTTTATAATAACTCAATAAGTGAGTTAAGTTAGACAGTAAAGAAGCGAACCTTGAACCTTCGGTAACCATGAATCTAAAGCCTGCAATGGCAATTAAGTACACATCTTTCAATAATCACCCAAATGTAAATGGAATGAATGCACCAATCAAAAGACACAGAGTAATAGAATGGATAAAAAAGCAAGACCCATCTATATGCTGCTTACAAGAGACTCACCTCAAACCCAAAGACATGCACAGACTAAAAGTCAAGGGATGGAAAAAGATATTTCATGCAAGTAATAGGGGGAAAAAAGCAGGTGTTGCAGTACAAGTATCAGACAAAACAGACTTCAAAAAAAAGAAAGTAACAAGAGATAAAGAAAGACATTACATAATGATAAAGGGGTCAGTCCAACACGAGGATATAACCATTATAAGTACATATGTACCCAATAACAGAATTAAAGGAGGAAACAGAATGTAATGCATTCATTTTAGGACACTTCAACACACCACTCACTCCAAAGGATAGATCCACAAAACTGAAAGTAAGTAAGGACACAGAGGCACTGAACAACACACTAGAACAGATGGACCTAATAGACATCTACAGAACTCTACATCCAAAAGCCACAGGATACACATTTTTTTCAAGTGCACATGGAACATTTACCAAAATAGACCACATACTAGGCCACAAAAAGAGCCTCAGTAAATTCAAAATACTGAAATTCTACCAACCAACTTTTCAGACTACAAAGGTATAGAACTAGAAATAAATTGTACAAAGAAAGCAAAAAGGTTCACAAACACATGGAGGCTTAACAACATGCTCCTAAATAATCAATGAATCAATGACCAAATTAAAATAGAGATTAAGCAATATATGGAAACAAATGCCAACAACAACACAAAGCCCCAACTTCTGTGGGATGCAGCGAGCAGTCTTATGAGGAAAGTATATAGCAATCCAGGCATATTTAAAGAAGGAAGAACAATCCCAAATAAATAGTCTGAAGTCAAAATTATCAAAATTGGAAAAAGAAGAACAAATGAGGCCTAAAGTCAGCAGAAGGAGGAGCATAATACAGATCAGAGAAGAAATAAATAAAATTGAGAAGAATAAAACAATAGAAAAAAAAAAATCAATGAAACCAAGAGCTGGTTCTTTGAGAAAATAAACAAAACAGATAAGACTCTAGCCTGGTTTATTAAGAGAAAAAAGAGAATCAACACACATCAACAGAATCAGAAATGAGAAAGGAAAAACCACAACAGACCCAACAGAAATACAAAGAATTATTAGAGAATACTATGAAAACCTATATGCTAACAAGCTGGAAAATCTAGAAGAAATGGACAACTTCCTAGAAAAATGCAATCTTCCAAGACTGACCAAGGAAGAAACAGTAAATCTAAAGAGACCAATTACCAGCAACGAAACTGAAGCGGTAATCAAAAAACTACCCAAGAGCAAAAACTCTGGGCCAGATGTATTTACGGCGGCATTTTATCAGACATACAGAGAAGACATAATACCCATTCTCCTTAAAGTTTTCCAAAAAATAGAAGAGGAGGGAATACTCCCAAACTCATTCTATGAAGCCAACATCACCCTAATACCAAAACCAGGCAAAGACCCCACCAAAAAAGAAAACTACAGACCAATATCCCTGATGAACGTAGATGCAAAAATACTCAACAAAATATTAGCAAACTGAATTCAAAAATACATCAAGAGGATCATACACCATGACCAAGTGGGATTCATCCCAGGGATGCAAGGATGGTACAAAATTCGAAAATCCATCAACATCATCCACCACATCAACAAAAAGAAAGACAAAAACCACATGATCATCTCCATAGATGCTGAAAAAGCATTCGACAAAATTCAACATCCATTCATGATAAAAACTCTCAACAAAATGGGTGCAGAGGGCAAGTACCTCAACATAATAAAGGCCATATATGATAAACACACAGCCAACATCATACTGAACAGCGAGAGGCAGAAAGCTTTTCCTGAGATCAGGAACAAGACATGGATGTCGACTCTCCCCACTGTTATTCAATGTAGTACTGGAGGTCCTAGCCACGTCCATCAGACAAAACAAAGAAACACAAGGAATCCAGATTGGTAAAGAAGAAGTCAAGCTGTCACTATTTGCAGATGACATGATATTGTACATAAAAAACCCTAAAGATTCCACTCCAAAACTACTAGAACTTATATCGGAATTCAGCAAAGTTGCAGGATACAAAGTTAATACACAGAAATATGTGGCTTTCCTATACACTAACAATGAACTACTAGAAGAAATCAGG